AAACCCCATGATATCAAAAATATATGATTTTAGAGTTAAATCAATAAATTTAAAATGGAAAATACTATACCTCATACTCATCAAGATATAGATTCAGAGAACATTAACCCTAACCTGGCAAAGTCATCAGAAGTTATTCAAGACCAGAAGATTACTTCATAAATCTAAAAGATATAAGACAAAGATTCTTCTGATGAAGAAGATGAAAAAATGAACGACTAAGAAGCGAAATTATGGAATAGAATTGAGGAACTGCTAAAAGATTATCATTTAAATGGATTTTAAAAAGTAGCTTGCAAAAAGTTTATTAAAGACAAGGTAGGCAACCCTGAAAATCATACAGTAGATAGATTAAGAGAGTGGCTCTTTATGAGACTTAATGGCCAAAGAATTCCTGAAAAGCATCATCCGAGATAACTTGGATGTCCAGATCTTGTTCCTGGTCTATCCTTGAAAGGCTATTGGCAAAGAGATTTATTTGAATGGATAAGAAAATTAGAGGAAGCAGCCCCTATTATCAGAGAGGAATTAGCATAGTTAAGAAATGAAAAAGGTTTCCAGCCATATAGAAGCCCTGCTTATGCTTCAAAGAACTTACCTGAAGATAAAATTGGATCATTAGGAAATGATAGTGGATCATGGAATGTATTCTATCTTTTCCTTCATGATATTCAATTTGAAGAAAACTGCGCCAAAGTACCTAAGACTGTTTAAATCTTAAAAGATATAGTACCAAGAAACTACCATCATGCATTCTTCAGTGCTTTGACTCCAGGCACTCATGTGACACCACATAATGGGCCTACAGGTAAGAAATTAAGAGTGCATCTTCCACTGGTAGGAGTTGAAGGTGCAAGAATGAGAGTTGGGGATGAAATCAAATATCTATAACAAGATGAATGTATCATTTTTGACGATTCATTTAATCACGAAGCATGGCATGATGGTTAACAGACTAGAATAAATTTGATCCTAGACTTTTGGCATCCAGAACTCTCAGATGATGAAGTTAAGTTCTTCACTATGCTCTTAAAGAGCAAACTGAAGGGTGAAAAATTCCTAAGTGAGAAGATATAAAACAATGATCACCTTTATGCAATTATTGAATAGACTAAAGACCTCTTAAAATCTAATGATGATTGGTGGATATCATGAGTAACAATAGAGTAGTTTTATTTTTCTTATTATTTTAATTTTTTATCATCCCTCTTCTTAATAAAATTAGCGTACTGGGGTTTTGGGGTTTTGGGG